CATTTTATTTGTTTAGTTGGGGTTAGGGCAGGAACCATGTGTGTCAGGGTCCATGTGTCAGAGGACATCTTATGGCAGTACATTCTCTTATACTATCACATGGTCCTAGTAGGGACTGAATTCAGGTTGATAGGCATGGCAACAGGTGCCTTTACCCACTGAACCATCTCACCAGCTATTTTTTGAGAGAGTCTCATATATCATATACTTCATGTTAGCGTCAGACTCCTTATGTAGCAGAAGCTGGCCTTGAATTCCTGATTCTCTTGCCTCCGTCTCCCAAGAGGTACTGGGATTATAGATGTCTTAACATAAATTTTGACGCATCTACTACACTGAATTCTCATGTGTTTGACAAGTTATTGTTTTCTGAGAATAAATGTTGTCTTGCTGTCAGTAGTTTATATTTATTTATTTATTTGGTTTTTTTGAGACAGGATTTCTCTGTGTAGCTTTGGAGCCTATCCTGGCACTCACTCTGGAGATCAGGTTCTGGCCTTGAACTCACAGAGATCCGCCTGCCTCTGCCTCCCGAGTTCTGGGATTAAGGGCATGCACAGTCAGTGCTTTTAACCCCTGAGCCATCTTTCCAGCCCCACAACAAGCTTGTTTTTAATTTAAATAAAAAAAATCTGCAAAGAAAAAAAAGAAGATAGACTGGAAAGATGGGAAATGGTTAAAAGCACTTGCTGCTTGTGGTTTGAATGAGAATGGTCCCATAGGCTCATATGTTTTAGTGCCTGGTCTCCAGTTGGTAGAACTTGTTGGCCTTGTTGAAGGGGAGGGTGTCACTGGAGCTGGGCTTGGAGGTTTCAACAGACCATTCCTGGACATCCCTCAAAAGATGCAAGCTCTCAGCTCCTGCTCCAGTGCCATGTTCCCTGCTATGACAGTCATATACTCTAACCTTTTGAAACTATAAGCCTCAAATAAACACTTTCTTCTATAAGTTGTGTTGGTCATGCTGTTTTATCACAACAATAGAAAATTAAGACAGAAGCTCTTGCTCTCTTTCCAGCTCTTCTATCTCCCTGCTCTCCTCTTTTCTGCTCCTGTCTTTCTCTTTTCTTCTGTCCTCCCTCTCTCTCTGTGTGCCCTTTTACCTCTTTTCTCTTTCCTTCCCCCTCCCTCTCTTTTCTAATAAAACTTCTCACTCAAAAAAAAAAGGGGGGGGAAGGGGCTGGAGAGATGGCTCAGAGGTTAAGAGCACTGACTGCTCTTCCAGAGGTCCTGAGTTCAATTCCCAGCCACCACATGGTGGTCACAACCATCCATTGTGAGACCTGGTGCCCTCTTCTGGAAGCAGAATGTTATATACATAATAAATAAAATAAAAAAAGTAAGACAGAAGCTACTGCCAGGGGTGGGATATTAATGTGACAGGCCCAACTATGTTATTTTTTGGAGGAATGTGGAAGATATTGAGACTTAGTACTGGGAGAATAGTTGGAGCTGTAACGGGGCTTAACAAGCCTAGTAGGTGCTTAGAGAGCCATGAGGACTATGGAGGCCCACTAACAATGTTTCAGAGGGGAACAATTAGCAACTTCTAGAGATCATCCTTGTGCTATTTTGGCAAAGAATATAGCTCCTTTTTGCCTATGTCCTAAGAATCTGCCTTAGACAAAATTGAAAGTAATGCACTCAATTTTTTTTTCTTTTTAGTAGAGATTTCTAGACAGCCTAGTTCTGACTTTGTCGTGTAGTTATTTGTAATTGTTCTTATACAGGTGCACAGTGAAAAACAAATGGGACAAAAAGACATACAAAAATGTATACTATAAGTAAAAAATTGGAAATTTAATGTTGGAGCCAAGGCTTGTCCTGAAAGAGATAAGAGGTTTAAAGAGAGGCCTGTTGTGAATTGGTTGGGAGTCATGCCCATATAGCAAGACCCTTCCACCCAACAAAGCTTCTAACTTGTGAAAAAGAAAGGCCTGAGGAATTTTTTGCTCCTAAAAAGCAACAGCAAATTGGAACTTGACACTGCTCTTGTAGAGGATCAGGGTTTGTTTCCCAGCATTCCTATGGCATATTACAAAGGCTTCCACAGGTACTTCGATAGGTACTTCACACATGTGATACAATTACATACATATAGGCAAAACACCCATACACATAAAAAAATTAAATGATGTGAGAGGCTAAAAAAAGAAAAAAGACAAAACCAAACAAAAACACAAGAAGATACCATAGAGAATGCCTGTTCTCATCATTTCATGCATAAGCAGAGAAAAGGCTCTACAGCACACAAGGATCAACTGTCCAACCAGAAAACAATCACAGTAAATAGATCTTGGATTATCCTAACCTCAAGGAAAAAATCCCTGTTGTTTCTGGCACCCAGTTTGTTGATAGTTTTGATAGTCTGAGCAGACAAACACAAAAAATGAACCTTAAATACATTGTGGTAAGTGAAATTAGCTGGTCATGAAGCACAGATGTGATCTCATTAAACAGATCTCTAGAGAGAGAGAACATTGAAATAGCCACAGCAGAATAGAGCTTATAAGGTAGGGAAAGTGGGAATGGAGAGTTATTGTCTAAAGAATAAGTTGTTCCAGATAATGAAAAAGTTCTAAAAATGAAAATGGTGATAGTTACTTAATTATGTCAGTTTATCTCATAGCACACTTGGCATGGCAAGGAGTGAGTAAAAGTGTTTTTAATTGATTTATTTTGATTACAGATTATATATATTTATTTAAGATGTTACACTAACTCAGAAATTACTTATTATAAACTAAGACAATTCACATATAAAGATTTCAAGTGAAATGAAATGTCAGAAAAGAAGCCATGTAAATATGAGACTGGGAATAGATAACTAATATATTTGTAAGTAATATTATTTGTCAATTACAAGAATACTACACTTTACCAAATACCAAGGTATTCTTTTTTCATTTTACTCTACATGAAATGTATAAAATAGCTCTGTCACCGTTAAGAATGCAGCAAATACAGGGAGCTGGAGAGCTAGCTCAGCAATTTAGAGCACTGGCTGCTTTTCCAGAGGACTTGGGTTGGGTTCCCAGCACCCACAGGATGTCTCACATCTCTAACTCTAGATCCAGGGGATCTAATGCTCTCTTTTGGCCTTTGTGGATACTGTACACACATGGTAACACAGACATACATGCAGACAAAACATTCATATGCACAGAAAAATAAATGGGGGGGGGGAAGAATTCAACAAAAGGGCTTGAAAGATGAGATGACTCAGCAGTTGAGAACATATACTCTACTTGCAGAGCACCCAAGTTGTGTTCCCAGCACCTCTCAACCAATTGCCTGAGACTCCAGGTCAAGTGGGGCATAATACGTCTTTGAGTCCACAGCTACTTGCAATCATGTGCCCACATTACAGATACACATACACTTAATTAACAACAATTTTAAAGAAGAAAAATCTTAAAACAAAAAACTGGGAGTGGTGGTACATTTCTTCAATCCTAGCACTAAAGGTAGAACCAGGTAGGTTAAATAAAGTTTAAAAATTGAGTTGAGAGCCCCCGTTGAGGGCCCTACACTGCCTGGGGAGTGGAGGGTAGATGGGGTAGGGGGTAGTTGGGATGGGGTAGGAGGGGTGAGGGGAGGGAGAGGGAGAAGGGATTGACATGTGAAACAAGCTTGTTCCTAATTTGAACTAATAAAAAAATAAAAATATGGGCTGGAGAGATGGCTCAGCAGTTAAGAGCAGTGACTGTTCTTCCAGAGGTCCTGAGTTCAATTCCCGGCAACCACATGGTGGCTCACAATCACCTTGAATGAGATCTGGTGCCCTCTGTTGGCATGCAGGCAGACAGCTGTATATATAATAAAAAAAATAAATAAATAAAATTAAAAAAAATGTATATATATATAAAATTAAGTTGAAAATATGAGTTGTTTTACTAATTTCTGTTATTATTATTTTTTTTGAGACAAGGGTCTCACTGTATATCCCTCCCTTT